AGAATTTTTTTGAGTATGCAAATTTGTAGCCCAATCAATTTTATTATATAAAGAGCATGTTTTAAGTAGGTAGGAATTACCGTTGATTTTTGGCAAATTTTTTCACGCAGTCTCTTCCATACAAAAATTTTTTTTCGAAAATACTTAATATGGAAAAAATGCAAAACACCTTCGACAAAAAAAAATCAAAGCGACTTTTGACTAACTCCGAACTTGCATTTTCGTACTAGAATTTAATGCAAAACTGCATACTCAAAAAAATTCTAAAAAATCTGATTAAAAAGTTGAAAATTTTGATAACAATTTGCTGAATTTTCGCGAGTTTTGCACAAAGTTTAGGAATTACATTTTTATGTTTTTTGTTGTTGAACGAACCATATTTTTATACAAAATTGGCGGAAAAATATTAGGATAAAAATTGTTGCATATATTGTGAAAAATTTGCTGTGCCAATACTTTGTTCCGGCAGTGTATGTATTTACGTGGATAACGAACTCATTACGAAAATTCCCATATCTGCGTTTAAATACCCAGTAGATAATTTCAGGAGTTAAAATCCCTTCCGAAAGGCCTTCCTGAGAGTCAAGAGGCCTTCCACTCTACATTCCTTTCTCATTATTTTTTGTATGGAGTGGCACAAATTGAAGGGCTCCTTCTTTCGCTACCCATAGAGGACCTTCCAGAAGGTCTTTTATTGGACGTACTTCAGAAGGCCATTTGGATGAGTTCTTTTAAAGTTAAATGATCCAGAACTTGCAAAACATGTTTCGTTTCCACAAAAATAAAGCGAACACTATTAAATTGGAGAAACAAGTATACTCCTCATGCAAATTCATGAGTGAGCCAAATATCTGAGGAGTTTATAGAGAAGATAATGTAAGTGCCGTTTGTCTTTAAGGGGTAGATAAATTTTAAAACCTACTCGAGAAAATTGCCCTAAATAACGCTNATACTCCTCATGCAAATTCATGAGTGAGCCAAATATCTGAGGAGTTTATAGAGAAGATAATGTAAGTGCCGTTTGTCTTTAACGGGTAGATAAATTTTAAAACCTACTCGAGAAAATTGCCCTAAATAACGCTAGCGCTCTGAGTTTTTAAAATTGGAGTGCCCTTAAAAAATATGACTCCTCAGATCGAGAGCGTACTTTGTTGGCTTTACGAACTCTGTTTTAAGCTCAGCGACTGTTATGTGTAAAAACTTGCATGTTCCGTCGATAGACCTAATCTTCAAATTTTTTAGCAAGTTTTGAGTATATGGTAGAAATGTAGCAGCAGGAAGTCCACCGAAACTCGAAAAATTTTGAAAACGGCCTACGAGAAAAACAAGGTTGGGAACCTCTGATGTAATCCATGTAAAATAATTGTTTTTTATACATTCGATATGCTCTTGCATACATACATATTTATTAGAGATGGGCGCGGGATATCAGGACCACAGAGCGCAAACAAACAATGGCAAACGTTTCGGTATCGTTTGGTCTCGCTCATACAAGGTAACGAAAGACAGCCGATCCAAATCACTCGGAAACATTTTGAGAGCAGTAACTTTACTCTGCTTACAATTGAATACAGAGAAATAGGGAAACAAACGAAACATAAAGTTAGTGGTCACAACATAAAACGAAACCATTCGTTTAGTAGCCCTTAGTATACATACATACATATGTACATACATACATATTGTGCAACCGAAATTTTGCGGAAAATAGCTTTCGTATAGTTCTAAACGGGCTGCTTTTAAATGTCTTTCCAAATTTCCCGCATGTTTTGATAATCTTTTGCTACCACAGTTTCCATTTTTTACATATTTCATTCTTATTGTTTGCCTCAAATAGTTGGCGCAGTATATTATTTTCAGGACGTGGCATTTTGCATTGACATAAACATACACACATACAATACACAGAAACCAACTGAGGCAGTTGAGCCATTCTGCTAACCTCATAGCCCACATTCATTTATTGAGCACTAAAAAAATAATTATTGTGGTTTTGCGTATCGTCTTTTGTTTCAGTTTTGCTCGGGATGAGTATCTTACAGCAATCAAAACCATGCAAGTGAGCAAAATAACAAACAATTCGTTTGATTTGTACTCGGCTGCAATTGAACGTATCGTGTATTGTTAGTGCTCGGGAAAGTATGACAAAAGGAACACAAAACTTTTCGTACCTGATCGTTTTCATACTCTGATCAGGACCCGCGAGACTCACGGTACTGATTTTCAAATGGCCGGAATAGGCGGTAAATGGAAGGTCTTAACAAATTTTGGGGGCGGGATGGGACCGAAATACTTTCCAGACACTCCCGATAAAACCCGCAACCTCCACAAATTCAAAAAGTTTTCCTTAGAAACGTTTTATGAAATAAGCATTTTTTCATGTTTTAACTATTGAGACGAAAATGAACAGCAAAGCAAAAAATTATATAACCTGAAGATGTCAGTGGTGCTATTCTGTAACGAGTTAGCGACGAATTTCGGATCGATATCGCTAATATGCGACAAGTTTTACGAGTTTTCTATTCTATAAACATTTTCTAACGATTTTTATTGCAAAGTTTGGAGTTTTTCTTTTCGATAATTAAACGTTTGTTTAGAGTTTTTTCATAAAAAATGCATCCTTACAGACATCTTAATGAATGCTACATGTATGCACATAAAGTCGATGACCGACGAAGAAGTCAAGTAGCGCCACCGGTCAAATACCTTTGCTGTTCTGTGACTGAGGCAAAGACACTTTTACCCCTTCTAGTTGCTTATTAAAGCGATGCTATTTCCAGAAGCCGCGAGTGGTCACTATAATAGCACATTCACCCGCTTCCCCTAAATAACTAAAAGTACTGTGAAGAGCAGAGGAAAACCAGACTTACTGCATTCAAATGGAAAAATTCTGTTATTCAAACAGCGACTGCGATAAGCCCTGTTTTAAAACCACATCTTCCTTATGAATAATGAGAACGCAACTAAAGGCTATTCATTAACGACCAGAGAAAACAGTAACCGATTAATCGATTTCGCCAATCCAAAAAATTTGGGTAAATGGTGGTCATATCCAAAGCGTAAATGAACATCCGCAATAAGAACCAATTACCAAACACGATAGGCCATCGCTTTGTATATAAAGCGCATGTAATCACCACATAATACCCTCAAATAAACACAAGCTGTAGAAAATGGCATCCAAATCGAAGGGCTACACAGAATACATAATTAACACTACAAGAAATGTTCAAGAAAGCGATTGGCAAAAGCATCACTCAGTACCCTTATGCGCACCAAAACGGCCCGACATCCCGTGAGGAGGAACAATAGGCTTCAGTTTTTGAACCGTCTATCACCCGCCTCTGCAGGGCAGGACAAGTGTAATCTTTCCACTAAGACAATGGGCTATTCACTGTATTTGTATTTGTAATAAGAAATACAAATTTTAGGTTTCCTCAACACCACTTCCAGTAAGAACCAGAAGCGATAGCGTAAACACGAAACTGAGAGTCATATTGAGAGGAAGAAAAAATTATCAGAAAGAGGCCACCAGTAAATCGGGTAAAAACTTGCAACTTACGCCATTGCGACATTATATATATATTGTTGAATATAATCGTCATAAAAAGAAAAAAAATCTACTTTGGAAGTCCATTATTTATTAATACTTTAACTTAATAATTTTATCTTGACCAAATTTTAAATTAGCATTGGTAAATAAAAAAAAAAAATGGTCCGTGTCACAGGGTTTGAACCCATGACCAACAATTTGGTAGTCAAACACACGTCCATTCGGCTACAGCCGCTGTTGAGAAAAAGTGGAAAAATACATATTTCTATTCATTATCAATATTTTTGATTGCGTTTGAAAATGTATAACCATTGCCAGTACATTTCTAATCTTATATCGACAATCATAGGAAAAAGATGTAAACGAAATCTATCGCTACGATATGTTTGCATAACACACTTGTCGCAAACGCAAGCGATTATTGTGGCAAACTGCGACAACGATTATCGGTCGGTAGAAAATGTAGAGAATATGTAGCTCTGAAGATCTTTCATCAATTTTTATTCTTTAAAATTGATTTCAAAGACGTGTGAATTAAACACAGTGTTATATTTCGGACCCTCAGGAACCCGCGGTACAAATGTCGGAATGGAAATGGATGCTGGACTTAAAAATTAAATTTCGGGAAAGGCGGGATCGGGCTTGAATATTTAGTCTCGTGCCCATCTCTAATATGTATGTCTCGAGAACTACCTTAAATTTCTCGTGAAAATGGCGGTACCCGAGATTGTGTCGAGAAATTGATTTCGAAAGTATGGTTAAGCGAACTTTTTTTTCGCGCTATTTCTACAAATGATTGCTGATTAGCAATAATGCCCAGTGGATTGTCACTTTTGTGAAAAGTAGAGTGTATTAAATATAAGTTCTTGATACGACATTGCCTTTTGTATTGCTGATCTTTGTGTTGAATCTGCAGTATTACAGTAATTATAAAAATTGGATAAATTACTTACATAAATTAAGCCGGAGTAATATCTGTCTTTGATGTTGTGCAAAACCGAAGCTTCGTTGAGACACGTAAGCTCTGCCATGTCTTCGACTTTATCAAATTTTGGAGGATTCATCTTTTGTATATCATCACGGAGAACCATCATCCGTTTGCCCGTTTCGGCAAGCTCCACTTCAACTTCATCGCCATGTTCGCGTTTAATGCTCGCAGCAACGAACCCCTGCAAGAAAAGAGTTCAAGAACTTGTCAGTTTGCCTATGGCTACAAGGAACTTNAGTCGAGAAATTGATTTCGAAAGTGTGGTTAAGCGAACTTTTTTTTCGCGCTATTTCTACAAATGATTGCTGATTAGCAATAATGCCCAGTGGATTGTCATTTTTGTGAAAAGTAGAGTGTATTAAATATAAGTTCTTGATACGACATTGCCTTTTGTATTGCTGATCTTTGTGTTGAATCTGCAGTATTGCAGTAATTATAAAAATTGGATAAATTACTTACATAAATTAAGCCGGAGTAATATCTGTCTTTGATGTTGTGCAAAACCGAAGCTTCGTTGAGACACGTAAGCTCTGCCATGTCTTCGACTTTATCAAATTTTGGAGGATTCATCTTTTGTATATCATCACGGAGAACCATCATCCGTTTGCCCGTTTCGGCAAGCTCCACTTCAACTTCATCGCCATGTTCGCGTTTAATGCTCGCAGCAACGAACCCCTGCAAGAAAAGAGTTCAAGAACTTGTCAGTTTGCCTATGGCTACAAGGAACTTGTACATAAATATTTATATATAATCTTAAAAGTGTGCAAAGTAATATTTTCTGTAACTTTAGCTTCAGAGTGTAAACGAAACCATTCCTGCTAACGGCGTATAGAAACTAGAGAGAAACATAGCAAGATCCCATGATTCAATAATACAAGGTAAAAGCATAAACAGTCGGCAGCGTTGATCCGGATTAAGACCGAGTTAATCGGGATCAACGCTGCCGTCTGTTTAAGCTTTTAGATAATTACTGACAGCCGCGGTTTAACACTCCCTTACAAAAGGTTGCATTTACGAAGAATGGAGAAAGGGGAATAATGAAATCCCTTGGTGCGAAAATGGTAGTAGAAAAGTACCCAAAGTAGGCAAATAGTAGTGAAATTCCTTTTGTAAATTCTAATATATTTGCAGGAAATCTGGCATTTTAAACGAAATATTAATATATCTACGTGAATTACGCAATTTATGTGCTATTTAGCTGTATAAAAACTGCCAAGACTCAAAATTAAAACAAAACTACAATGAGATATAAGTAAACATCCAATTTAAAAACAGTTTATGATTTCATCAGTTAAATGTGCTTCATATGCATATACAAATAAAACATATTGCACAAAAGCTTATACTTCTATTTCACACCAAAGCTACACTTTTTCCAAGTAAATTAGCAAAGAAGCAACACGATGCCACTGCTAAGGGAGCGGTGCGAGAGAGACAACGGTCAGTTTATCGAACCTTGTATTATTGAATCATGGCAAGGTCACTCATAATTATCATACTTTTTTAAAGATTCCAAAAGAAACTTTCATTTCGGATTTTTTCTACAGATTTATAAAAATTAAAAGATCAGCTCTATGAATAGTTTTTTATGTGAAAATTCTTATTGATGTTTTTTATGTACACTCAAGTAACGACAACCCCAAATAAGGATAACTTTTTTTCCCCGAGTTATGCAAGAAAACATTACATTAAGTTCAGTCAGAAATTTAATTCAGTAAATTAACTTTTTAATTGAGCTACCGCTTTTTGGTGGTCACACGCGGTCAGCTGCTCGATTAGCTACAGTGATGCAAAAGTTGATACAATCGTACTTTGAAAGTACATTCGGCACAAACACATAATTTTAGGTACATTTTAAACGTGGTCAAATAACTTTTCAAGAAATCAGTTCTTATTTTTATTCACATTTCAACGCATTTTCTGATGTGGGGTAGCTTGTCCAATAGCCTTCCTCCTTTGTGTAGGGGCATTAAATGATACAAATGGTGGTCAAAATAACGTAACTATAGTTTAATACGGCAGAAAGACAGAGGATATTTTTTTAAACGTCAGATCAAAGAGCTCGGAGGAAAGTTATTCACCTTTTCGAAAATATAGCTCTGTCTCGAACTGCTCGAAGGGATTGTTTTCATAGCCTAATATACTTATACAAATTAGGTAAAGTTTATCCGCCAAATTAGGTACAATTTGAAAATTCAATTTTCCATCCCTGATGGAGTAGGAGTTGTACAATAGGACCAGAAACAAACTGCTGATTGCTATTTGTTCAATTAAGATACCTCAAAGTCAAAATCAAACATACCCTAATCGAATAATTAAGAATTTAAATGGTAAATCAAGCTTAAGTAACGCCTTAATCGGGTAAACTTGGCGAATTAATCGATTAGCGGCCTGTCTGAACATACTTTTACCTCAAATCAAACCTGCCAACATCAAATACAAGTGTCAGTACAAGTACTTTATTACTTAAAATATAAGTACAAAGAACAACTACCGAAGATTTTGTAATTAAAATTGGGAAGAACGAGTATAGTATTTGTAGTATATTACTTAAAATATAAGTAAAAAGAACAACTACCGAAGATTTTGTAATTAAAATTGGGAAGAACGAGTATAGTATTTGTAGTATTTTATAAGTATGTACACTGAGGTTGGGATATAATAAAATCAAATAAAACGTGTTCAAAGGTAGTGTATAATGGAAATATTCAAATAAAGCATTTCGCATTTCACGGATGGCGTTTTGAACTTAACGGATGCTTTTTCATAATTAATATAAACCAAAAAAGTGGAATTTGAACCCTGATCCGCAGGAAATAATAAATTGAGGTAAGCATCTTTGCGCACTCAGCTACAGCCAGACATTCTGGTAGAGCATATTATAATGATACTGTATTAGTAATTTCTACTCTCAAAAATTTCACTTGGAAATGGAACCTTAACTTTGTATGCCAGTTTTGAAAATTATATTTTTTCATTCGCCTAATAAAACTTACAAACATGATACAAAAAAGAAGGTAGTTTCATTTAATGGCATTCGTTGTTGTTGTTAACCATTTGACTTTTAATAAAATTATGAAGTTTCATCAAATTCATGCTACCTGATCATTAGAAGAAATATTTTTTTTTTTAAGCAGAAGATTTTATCAGTACATTCAAAGATGTGGAATATGTTGAATTAGAAAATTATGCCGGCTACATGATTTCGAAAATGGGGTTGACGACTAGGTTTCAGAAAGCATGAAGAAAGTGTATACTTACATATCGTCGCTTAAAGTACAAAACCGCACAAGCTCTTGGCTCAAGCCTTATCCATTTGTCCTGAAATGCGATTTCTTTGTAAAAAAAAAGAACCATTTTGAAATATGAGTGTTTTTACTCTCTACAAAATAATTTATGCAACCTCACATACGCAGTTGTGCATTTTGTTGATAACACGGTTTTGTACTTCAAACGACGATCTGTTAGTTGTTTATCGGAGGGCGGTCTGTAGGGACAGGATATCGAACAGAAAGTATCGATATGGTACTCATTTAAAGTATCGCTTAAAAATATCGGGTACCCATTGATATCGGAATAAAAAGACTCGATATTCCAAATATCGATACCAAAATCCAAAAAATTTATATGAATAAAGGTCTCGTATATAGGCCGCTGTGGTGTGATGATTAGAAGTGCTCAAAACTTGAAAATGAAAAACAGCTTCCCATTAAAACAAAATCGCCGCTCAAAGTCGACATAAAACTGTAGGGACCCCTTTTGTGCCACAACATTAATAGCCCGAACACAATGAAAACGACGAGCTATGGACCATAGCTGTCAAATTATTTTAACACGTACTCCTTATGTAATTATTTTGGCGCCGACCGGGCAACGCGACGACTGTGGTTGTGGCCAGATTAGATCTATTTCTATTTTTCCAGCGACAGATTAGGTTCTTCCTCTTTTTTTATGTCAAACTCGTACAAATTCGTGATGTCGCCGACGCATTTAAAAAAATCATGTCGCCATCGACAAAGCGTTTAGACAATGAAGATAACAAATTGGAAGCTGTGGCCCGTAGCTCGTCGTTTTTAATGTGTTCAGAACTTAAGGCGCACTTTACAAATCGGAGGAGAATCTCGGTCAAACACTAACATATTGTGTAACAACACGTAGAGATTGAGGTGTTGTCTTAAAACACCGAAGTCGCGGGTTCAAATTCCACCACATGCAATCCTAACTATATTACACATTTCTGCTCTTAAAAGCCCAATTTATATCGGGAAGAATTGTTAATAACATTATCCTTGTAATGTGAGTGTTGCGAAGACATTAATAGTAATACGAGCGTTGTTATAAAATTAAGGTTAAGTGAAAAAACCGCGTGTCTTTTCTTTAAAAATTCAGAATTCAAGAGAGTTTATTACAAAAAATACAATTCTCAGTTGTCATTACAGGGTTTCAAAAGGTAAAACAATTCAATGTTCAGTACAATATTACAGGGCTGCAAAAGTTAGTAGGAAAGTAAAAGACTATGCAATAATATTGAACAGTGAGTTTATTACATTCGATACGATACTAGGGTTCTGGTACTCGATTCCAAAAAATATCATTTTAAAACTATCGAGTAGGAAATATCGGTATTTAATGCCAAAAGTATCGGTATGGTATCGTATCGTATCGAAATTCGTGTCCCTAGCGGTCTGTTAAAGTCGACTTCAGGTGTTTTGCATAAATTAAAATTTTGTTAAATTCAATGATGAGCGCTAATCAGAAAGCCTAATTTTTTGCAAAATCTTATGAGAAGTTTAAAAGCAAATTTGAACCAAAATATAAAAAGGTTTTATTTGGGAAGAACAGTCTTTAGAATTCGATTTTTAAATCGCAAGATTGCATTCAAAATATGCAAACAAAAAAATAACAGAATGCGCTCGTGGTTTTTATTACAAAATGAAAACAACAATTGCGATGGAGTCTCCTTTAACAGTTTACATTTTAAATATTTTGAATAAAAAAAGGTGCGAACCACGTAAGTAAAAAAAAGTGATAATGGTTTTTGATTTGAAATATTATTACATTGGTATAAATATGGGAAAGAAAATACTCCGATTTATTGTTTTAATATTATCAAAGTGGCAAGGCCGTTGATTATACTCACAATTTATGAAACTTCAAAAAATTTTATTATCCGTCAAAAGTTGTTTACTGAAACTACCAAGGCGAATTAATATAGGGTGATAGCAGGAGTACAAAAACAAAAAATTACATGTATTTTGTTTTTACTTTGGCGGCATAAACTGTCAAAATCTGTAAGAGTGTGTGTAGAAATTCAAACAAAATTTTTCAATTTGATATCAGAAGCCGTGCGCCGAAACACATACACAAAATCAGATGAGCTAGTAACCCCACCTTATATTAATTCGCCTTGGAGACTGCCTTCTTTTTTGTATCATGCTTATAAATAAGACGATCGTTTATTTTATCTCTTGCACTTCTATTAATATTGGTTATGGGCCCAGAACTGGGTCCATTATAAAATAAACGTGGTCTCGAAAATTTGATTGAATTTTTTAAATCAAAGATCTTATCGTTGGTGGATAAAAATGGCAAGCATGTTATCGCAGATAGAAAAATTAAATGGCGAGAATTTTTCAGTTTGGTCAGTCCAAGTCTAATGGTGACTTTGGATTAAT